GAAAAAAAAATAAAATTTAGTTTCTATATTTATAAAAAAAAAATATTCTGCCCCCAAACTGGGTCATAGTGTTTATCTCAGCAATGGAAAGCAAACTAGGACACAATCCAGTGTAATGTCATATTATATTGATGCTTTCCCATCAATCTTATCTTGTTCCTCATAAAAGGGTGTCTCTTATCCCCTTCATATTGTTCAATTGTATTTTAAATTAACATAGTGATTGTATTCCTAAGTGTATTTCAGTACATGTACACAAGATATTCAATCAAATCAGAACAGAAAGGATTTTTAGTTCCTTATTTCTTTATATGTGGATACTTTGAGTTTTTCTCATTTGATTCTTTTCACATATATAAGTCTTTGTGAACTATATCCACCCCACTCTTATCATCTTGAGAAGAAGCCAGGACTGGAATTAATTTAACAAACTGGCAATAACACTTACCATGTGCATAGCCTTAGGCTAGATGTTGGATTTATTATAGTGTTGATAAACCAGCATACTGTGAAAAGGAAGTGGGTGATAATTGGGAGCTATCTCTCAATATGAATGTTGGATGTTGCAGTCTAGCTGCAAAGAGTTCTTCAGAATAAGGAGGTCTTTCAGAATATTTCTAACTTTGGGAAGAAACAGACTGGTTTTTGATCTTGGTTTAGCACAGCCTGGGGTTAGAAGAGATTGACCAGAACTAGTGCAATTTATGCAACAAGACAGAAGACAGATAATAGCAATTGACTTTAACAAACAAAATGAAATAAATTTATGCAAGGCCTTACTAATGAAAATAGGTAACTGTGGTAGTTTGAATGTAATTGACCCTCATAAACTCACAGACAGTGGCACTTTTAGGTCTGGCTTTTGGAGTAGGCGTGGCCTTCTTGGAGGAAGTATGGCACTGTGGAGGGGCACTTTGAGGTGTCATATGCTCAGCCCACATCCAGTGTCTCAGTTCACTTCCTATTGCCTTCAGATCAAGATGTATAATTTTCAGCAACTTCTCTAGCACCATGTCTGCCGGCACACTGCCATGTCTCACCTACCATGATAAAAATGAATGATAAAGATCTGTATAAACCATCCCAACTAAAAGTTTTCCTTTAGAAGAGTTGCCATGGTCGTGTTGTCTTTTTACAGCAATAGAAAGCCCAAGACAGTAATTGAATAAACAGTTAAGAAGGGATGATGAAAAAGTTCTTCCTTAGAGTTAAATTTCAATAATAACTTTCAATAATAGAAAGAAAAGGATGGAAATACAAAATCACCAACTGGCAAATGACATAGTCTTGGTTGTTTGGCTTTTTTTCCCAAAACTGTTTTGTATTTATATAGAGGAGTGTGTGTGTACGTGTGTGTATGTGTGTGTGTGTGATGTGTGTTTCATTGTGTGCATATGGAGATCAAAGCACAACCCCAGGTGTCTGCCTTTGCTTTCCATCTTGAGACAGGGTGTCTTTCTTGTTGTCAGGCTGGCTGGACTGTGACTTTGCAGGGATTCTCCTTTCTCTGCCTCCCACCTCTGCACAGGAGCCTTGCTACAGCATCAGGCTTTCACATGCATTTAAATCAGGTTATCATAGTTGTGTGGCAATTGTTTTCCTATAGTGGCATTGGGTAAGATTTAGACACACATGGTAAAATTACTGTAGAAGTTTGAGAAACAGATTATGAAATCTCAAATAGTTCAAATAGCTCCCCACAAGAGTCTCTATTATGTTCTTGGTTTATTTTTGTTTTTTTGTTTTTGAGACAGGGTTTCTCTGTGTCACTGGCTGTGCTAGAACTTGCTGTGTAGACCAGCTGGCCTTGAACTCATAGACTCGTAGAGATCTGCCTGCTTCTGTTTCCCAAGTGCTGGTATTAAAGGCACGTGATGCCACCACCTGGCCCCACAAGGTTCTTATTAATTACAAAGGAAAAATAATACTTTTATTGTAGGGAACCTGGCATATGAAAACCTCATCTAAAATATGAGTTGCTATCCCACTCAGTAAATATATCAAATTCACATGCCTCCTTTCTACACCCTGAGAAGAGCATAGCATCTCAGTTTTATTCTATTGATAAACACATCATCTATAGTTGATCGTGGTGTGGGATTGTTTGTGATTTACACCTTCAGTACATTATGGGAGGTTGCTGCTCCCCTGCTGGTAGCCAGGAAGCAAATACTGAGGGAGAAGGGAGGCACCAGAATCCAGTTATCCCCTTCAAGTGCATGCCTCCAATGACCTGCCTGCCTTAAAGTAGGTTCTACCTCTTAAAGATTATACCATCCCCCATTAGGGACATCAAGAGGATTTGGCTGTGGCTTTTGTCAGTCAGTTGATCACTGAACCAGATTTGGCTGGCTAGGCTGGTGCCCCCTTCCTCTTTCACTTCTTCATGGGTGCCCTTCCAGAAGCTGCAGCCTCCATTGAAAATGGCATCTTTCCGTAATGGAGAACTATTCTTCCATCGAGAGCATAGGAGAAGATGGAATCCCCTGCTAGAAGTACAAGCAAGTTCTCATAGGCCACCATCTCCTAATAGCATCACAGGCTTGTGACTAAACTTTGATATGTGGAACTTTGTTGCTCATCTGTATGGGGGTGGGGAAACCATCCTCGTCAACTTCCTAGAATCAGGAAGAAAAAATAGACTACAAAAAAGAGCAATGTGAACATTTTAATCTGCAAAATTTATTCTTGCTGTTAGTAATAGTAACTCTACTGTCTTGAGCTGTTACAACTTCAGAGGGTTCCTGCCAAATCAAAAGCATCTGGACACAAATGACTTCCAGCCACGCAGAATGCCCTTGTCCAAAGAAGTAATAATGCTGTCTTTGTGGGTGGACGACTGTTGTCAAGGAGATGGCTCCAGAGAACCCAAACCACTGATGGGGGTGATGTCACTTCTGGGCTTGGTGGAAAGAAAACCCACAAAGAAAAAAAATGGGGCAATGGCTTCTCTGTCTCTAACCATGAATATGCTCCAGGAGCATAAAAAACAACTTCTGGTATGATTTTTATTTTGCATAATTGATTCTATTTTCAGTTTTCAGGTTCACCAAAGGTTAAGCTCATAATCCAGACACATGGTCTTACTGAACAGGTCAAGGGATTAATCTGAATGGGAACTTCCTATAGGTTCTTTGTAGTTCTCTACTCTGTTTTTGTATGTGGGAAAGCGAAAGTACTGACAGGGGAGGAATAAGTTGTAGTGAGTCCTGCAATCCTAGTCATCACAGCCACCTTGAAACATTTGCTTAAAGAATGAGTCTGGTGATCATAGCATTACAGTTCTGTGCTATCTGCCCTAGACTTGATGTCTTCCTTTGATTTCTGCTTTTGTTTGTACATTTATACACATATACAATTTCTTATGGTCATATTCATCACCTCCCATCACATTCTCTTGTCCTGATGCACTCCTGATGACTCCTTTGTTCTTTCTAACGAGTCTCTCTCCTACTTTCAAGTCCCTTTTCTCACCACCGAGTTTCATTAGAGTTGCTTGTCTGAGCATGGATGGGGGTTATTCATTGGAGTGTGTGTAACTAACCATGGAAGCAAATGACACCTACCCTCCCAGCAATAACAGATCTCACGTCTGAATTATAAGTTCTAAGGTGGAAACAGATCTAAACACTTGGGGAATATTGCCTGTCTGAACCACTTAAGACGTTTGATTTCAGAAGCATCTGGGTTCAAATCACAGCCCTGACACTTGCCAGTTTGTAAAGAAAGAATATTTGGAGTTATGGGGAACGAGAATGAAGATGTGAACATATAGAATTATTATTGACAGATTTCCTAAAGATATCTCATGTCAAAATCCTGTAGGATAGGTACTAGCCCATTCACTCAGATTGAGCACTTATGCTTGTCGGTCAAGGTCACCCATTTCATTCCCCAGAACCACAGAATATAGTAGGTAAAAGTCTCACCCCATAAGTCTGGAGTTAGTGGTGTCCAGTACAAAAAGCCTTGTAACTGCAGAGTCCCCAGCCAAAAAAATAAAACAGAAGGACAATCTATCTGCTCCAGTTAGCAAACACTGTTCCATATCCATGTATCCTCCCCATTCCTTTCTCCCTCCTCTTTTCTTTTCCCTCTGCTTCCTTCTTTCCTGGCTCTCTCTCTCTCTCTCTCTCTCTCTCTCTCTCCCTCTCTCCCTCCCCCTTCTTCCTCTCCCTCTTCATCCTTACTCCCTTCCCTCCCCTTCCCATTCCTCAGGACACAGAGTGATTTTTCTCAGAATATCTTCATTCTGTTAAAGAAGGTTAAAAAAAAAAAAATGCTTCCTGGGAACCCAGATCTAAATTCAAGGAGCTGAGGATCTGATTTTAGTGGATAGTAAACTTATTTATTACTTTGGGCAAGTTATACTTCTCTCTGGGTCTCAGTTTACTGACTGTTGGTACTTGAGCCCTAATGGTAACTAAATGTACTGAGAGCTTTGACATGAAGTGTTGGTGATACAGGTATAAGGCTTCAAACTCAACCTATAAATTACCTTATAATAGCGCTCCACCAGTGTTATTTTTCTAAATCGAGGCAGAACTCAGTTATCTGAGTTTCAACATGAGGCAGAAGTCTTTTGGGGTAAAAGTACCAAGGTGCGGGGTGTGAGGGGGAGTCATGATTATAACAGCAAACAGAATTAGATACCATGAGCTGCCCCACCTCCCGCTTAAATTAACTGAACTAAGCTGACTTTTACCCTCAACAAATATGGTTCCTACCTTGGCTTCAGCTCCAGGGCCCTCACACTCAAAAAAAAAAAAAAAAAAATGTCGGCCGGCCTCTCCCGTCTCAGGTTCAAGCGCGGCGGTTCTGCCCTGAGTGAAGATGGCGCCCACTCACGCTTCCCTGCCCGGTTTCAGGCCTGGCAGGGAGGCTTCAAGGCCCGTGCCTACTGACCCCGCCTGGTTTCCGTAGTAAGACGCGGAGGAAAGATGGCGGCAGCTGCGGTTTGAATTCCATCCGCGCCGCCAGACTGAGAACAAGAGCTGGACTGGAAGGGGCGGGACCTGGGCAGCCCAGCGCGTCGCGACAGCTTGGAGAACCAGTGGCGCCGCCGCACACACCGGTGCCACCGTCTCTGTGTTCATGATGGACTCGGGGATGGAAGAGGACGTCACCCTGCCTGGGACCCTCAGCGGCTGCAGGTGTGGCCCTGGCTTTGCGGTTCGTGGTAACTGGGTTGGGGTTCGTATAGATGGCGGTTCTCTCCCTTGAGGCCCGTGTGTGTTGGAACCTGAGGGTGTCCAGGCAGCTCCACATTCGTCTGTGGTATTCTGGAACACACTCTGAGAAAATGTGTGGAATGTAAGGGACTTTTTGAAAGAATGAGAGGAGATGGGCCTAATTGGGATTTGTATTAGTAGGGGCTGGTTGGGACTGGGCTCCTAGGGCACTTAGTGATTCGTTCTTGTCTGAGAATCTGCATTCACTGTGGGAAGTGTGTTGTTATTTTAGACTTTCTAAGGGCTCACGCAGCAGCCACCCAGGGCAGAGGCATTGCAGGAGTTAAGAGCCTTGGCTGGAGATGGATGGAACTGGATTCAAGTCCAGCCCATAAATTGACTATGTGGGTGACCTTGGAAAGGACTTCTGCTCTGCTCAGTAAAATGGTAATAGGCACGTATGCCCTCACCAGAATTGAATGAGATGAAAAGGAACAATTCCTGCCTAGCAGTTCTCTTGGCAAGGCTAGCAGCTGACACAACAATGTTGAAAGGGATGATCTGTATTGCCATCACTACCACTACTACAAGTTGTGTCTTCTGTCCAAGGCCCTTGGGACCAGAAATTAGATTATTTGAGATATTTGGAATGGGTTGTTGGCATGAGAACTAACCTAGCGCAGTGTCTAACTCAGGGGATCTGCTAATACTCTCTTTCATCCCCCTGCCTTGACAGGGGAGATGCTACATTCATTTCTGGTAATTCGCCTCCTAACCCACTCTAGGCCCTCCAGGCAACTTGCCATGTTCAGGATGAAGTTTTGTAATGTGGCTTTCTAGTTTCTTCATAGCCTGCTGCATCTGCCTCTAGCTTCCCCTCTCTCTGGTTCCCAACTCTGTTTGTTCCCCAAACTCTTGGTCCTATGCCTGACTGTTAAGTTCTGTGTCAGGAATGATCTTGCTGTGTTGTTTCTTGCTGCCATACCTGTTCTTCCTACACCTTTTGCCTTATTAACACCCCTGTTCCACTGCTAGGAAACCCTCACTGCTATTCCCCTCCTTGAGTGGGCTATCTATACTGTTCCAGCTACTCTCACCTGTCTCTGTCTGAACCTTGTTGACAGTCATCAGCACTGTCCAAAAGAAATATGACCTATGGTGTATATTTAATTAAAAATTGTGATGTAAGACCAGGCATGGTGGTCTCACCTTTTCCCCTAGCACTCAGGAGGCAGAAGCAGGTGGATTTCAGAGTTCAAGGCCAGCTTGGTCTACAGAGCAAGTTCCAGTATAGCCAGGGCGACACAGAGAAACCCTGTCTCAAAACAGCAACAACAAATTTCTGGTATTCACAATTAAAAAAAAGAAAAAGAAACAAGTGAAATTCCTTTATTTGTGGTGCTGGAGTTTGAAGGCAGGGTCTCACATGTGCTCAGCAAGTGCTTTACCACCAAGCAGCAGCAGCTTTGAAGACAGGTGAATTAGTAACATACTTGATGTAGCTTAATATTTCCATATATAATTCTAGCAATATCTATAGAAAAACTTGTTGATGGTGTATTTTACATTTTTCAATCTTAATGTTTGACATCTGGCATGAAATTTTACACTTTGTTTCCTTTTCCGTTTGGACAAACTGCATCTCAAGCCATAGTTAATGACTTGTGTGTTGGGCAGTGCAGGTGCTGGCTTTTAACATATGGTCACCACCAGATGAGATGGAGACCTATTTTAGAGCAGGAACTAGTTTTGTCCATTTTAGCAACCCTACACTCTAGCCTAGTGTCTGGTACACAATGGGAACAGAATGACATTTATTAAGTCACTGAGTGAAAACTGACTCTTTGAGGGGCTGCTTTTTTCCATGTTACCTGTGGGACCCCTAAAGCACAGAGAGCTGAAAAGAATGGTCTGGGGTCACATGATAAATCAGGACGTAAATCTAAGCTTCCTGACTCTAAGCCTGCTTTGCCTTCTGGTTAGTCTAAACTAATCAAACTGGGTATTCTGGGATTCTTATAGTCCTTCTGGTTAGTCTAAACTAATCAAACTGGGTATTACGGGGTTCGTGCTGACGTTCTGGTTAGTCTAAACTAATCAAACTGGGTATTCTGGGGCTCCTGCAGACCTGGTTAGTCTAAACTAATCAAACTGAGTATTCAGGGGCTCTTTCAGGGCTTCTGCCACTAACTGGCAGATTCAGATATATTCTGGGAGGAATGGATCTCCATTAGGGGACCACAACAGGAGAAAATAGTTCCTATAGCACTAATTCTAATTGGTATTAGTAATAAAAATCCAGAGTCAGTTACAGGGTTAATGCTGAAGATCAGAGAAGTGGAGAGGCCAGCTACTAGAGAGTCTTTGACCTCTACCCGTGCCCAGAGAGAGGGGTGGTCCTGCCCTCAGACTGCATCTCCAGACTCCATTAGTCTCCACCAAGCCTCAGACTGTACTGAGTTCCTGTCTCCTTCTGCCTTACATTCCTCTCTCCACCCAGCCATATCCCTCCTGTCTCTACCTCCCTACTGTTGGGATTAAAGGTGTGGGTTACCCAGTGATGGGATCACCTTTGTGTGAGCTCTTTTTCTCTCCTGTAGAGAGATTCAGTCTTCGTGCCCAGGGTGGTCTTGATCTAACAGAGATCCCTCTGCCTCTGTCTCTAGAGCCCTGGGATTAAAGGTTGTGTCCCCACTACCTGGTCTCTAGTGGCTTAGTTCTGTATTCTGATCTTCAGGCAAGCTTTATTTGTTAAAACATGAAATATTACTACAAGTTCCCAGGATAAAACCATAGCTTCTCATTTTAATATGTTGCTTTCTGAGCATCTTTCTCTTGGTAATTTGCAAACCCCATGTTTACAGCCTAAACTGAGGCCAGGTTGTCTGTGAACTTTTGTTTCATTAGGTCAGGGTACACTATTTGCTTTGAACCCAATCCTTCTGTGTGTTTCAAACAGCTTTATCCTTTTCTAATTTGGACCCAGGGATCCAGCCCCATTTAAGAAATTTACTCAGGAGGCAGAGGCAGGCAGATCTCTGTGAGTTTGAGGCCAGCCTGGTCTACAAGAGCTCATTACAGGACAGGCTCCAAAAGTACAGAGAAACCCTGTCTTGAAAAACCAAAAAATAAAAATTAACAAAAAGAGAGAAATTTACATCTTTTTATGTAGAAAGATCCTGTGCTTGGCAGTCAGTGTGATAACACAGATACAGATGACAGTATAAACCCTCATTGAACTTCCTAGTTACGCTGCTTTGACTAAGTCACTGTTGATAACGTATTTTACTGATGGCCACACAGATGAAGTAAGAGTGTACATACTAAGCACCTGGCACCTACTGGAGAAAATGTGAACTCAGTGTGTGTTCTTAAATTCCTACTGTTGTCAATACAGGATCCTCAGCACTGCAGCCCTCAGTTCATCTCTTTGTTTCATGCCAACTGTCTGACTGTGTTCAGCTTGAGTGTCCTGAGGCCTGAGCTCAAGCTTATTGCTCCAGCACGTGGCTGTTAAGTACCTGCTGCCATATCACGAGCAGGCTGGATGGAAATGTTTAGTCATAAGCGCAGTTTTATTTGGACCATGATCATGGATGTCAGGAGAAAGGGTCTGAAAAGAGGACAGGGTAAAATCAGATGAGGACTTGGTGGTAGTGGGAGGGCTACCTTGGATCCAGGGCATTCTTGAGCCGCGAGGCTTGAGGAGAACTGTGGTTCCTCAGTTGATAAAGGACCTGAGTTTGATCACCAGAACCTCCCTACAGAATGCTAGGCATGGTGATGTGTGCCAGAGGGCTGAGATCAGAGGATCCCTAGCGTTAGCAGATGAGCTAGTTTAGAATAATCTGCCAACCCCAGGCACAAGGAAAAAGACCCTGTTTTAAAGAAAACAAAACAGCCAAGGAAGATGGCTCCTGAGGAAAGACCCCCCCCCCAGATGACCTTCTCACCACCCCATGTCTCTGAACACTCGTGTGCATACATGCACACTGACATATGCCCCCATATGAACAGGTGCATATACATGAACATGTAGTTTTTTTTAAATATGTATTTATTTATTTATTTATTTATTTTTTATGTATACAATATTCTGTCTGTGTGTGTGCCTGCTGGCCAGAAGAGGGCACCAGACCCCATTACAGGTGGTTGTGAGCCACCATGTGGTTGCTGGGAATTGAACTCAGGACCTTTGGAAGAGCAGGCAATGCTCTTAACCACTGAGCCATCTCTCCAGCCCCAACATGTAGTTTTTATATCATAAAGCCTACCCATTTAAAGAAACTACAGAATATAAATGGTGTGTCAACATAACCATAATTCAAATTTAAAACATTTTCATTATTTGAAAAGAAACATGTGTCCCTTAGCAATCCTTCCTCATTTTCCTATTGTCACCCCGACCCCACTTCAGACCCCCGTGGTCCACAGTCAAGATTTTTGAGTCTATAGATTTGTCTGTTCATATATAAGGCACCTTACAGTGCACATTCTTTTGTGAGATACACATTGCAGCATGCATCACTGCTTTTTTTTTTCTTTTGTGTCAAATAATAGTCTGTTGTACCTATGTGCCATGTCTTGTTCATGTCAATGGATGTTGTTATTTTTTTCTGTCTATTATGAACAATGTTATGAACCTTTAATTAGGTATGAGTTTTGTTTGGACACAGGTTCTCTTTGAAACTATGGAACTCCTGGTTCCACACAGGAGTAGAATTGCCAGGCTGTATGGGAACTCTGTGCTTGTTACTTGAGGGACTGGCAAACACGTTTCAAAGATGGGGCCCATTTTTCTCTCTCACCAGCAGTGTTTTGCAGGTTCTGGGTTTTTGTATTTCACCAGCAATTCTCATTGTCTTTTCTACTCCAGTCATTATGGTAGGTGTGATATTATGTCACTGTAGAACTAATCCTTTAATGCTGAATGGTAGTGTATATCTTCTTATGTGCTTCTTAACCATTTGTGTGTTTTCTTTGGTGACATGTCTTTTTTTGCCCAGATTAAAAAATGTAAATTATTTCAGCCCCACACTTTCAGTTCTTCATATCTGCTCTAGAGGCATCTTCATACATGTACACAACGGGACCAGTTATAGATATTCGTACAGCATGTTTTTAAAAGAGCTGCTTAGAAACAAGTTGAATTCCAGTTAGCAGGGGATCAGGTAAATACAAATCCTTTCAGAAACACCTTTCAGACTGCATGCAACTCCCACTGTTGGCTCTTAAAAGTAAGCTTCCTAGGTTACAGTCAGGCATTTTAAAGTAGGACAGGACAGAGACGGTTTCAGGCAGTAAGGAATTCTTTATGGATCATTGCCAGTAGAATTCAAAAATTAATGCGGCGGAATGCTCTGTAGGGTTATAAATATGGTCACAGACCCATGTATACAGTCACTGAAAATGTAGGATGAATCTGTAGCTAGAGGAAGGGTGGTGTAGAGTATCACACTCACTTTAAATGCATTGGTGTGTGTCCATCCGCTTGTGTCCCTTCATGGATCTTCCTCTGCCTGTTGCTCCCCATCTTGGTTTTCGAGATAGAGTCTCTCATTAACCAGCTGCTTTGCATATACTGGCTGACCAGGAAGCCCCCAGATGCACGCTTTAGCACTGCCCCTACCAGTGCTGGGGTTATAGGCATATACCACCACAGCCGGCTTCCAGATGGTCTCTTTCTATCCAAACTGAGCTGTTTATGCATGTGCAGCAAACAGTTTGCCCACTGAGCTGTCTCCCCAGCCTGCATTTGTCTTATTTTAAGCCAGAACATAAAACTGTGATTCTCTGTATATAAATGCCCAGACCAAGGTTAGGAGGCACCTTGTTTCTGAAGTCATTGCTTACCTCTTAGGAAGTGACTGTGTTGGGACTCTCTAGGGAGAAAGAGCATTAGGTATGTCTGATTTTCATCTTTATGCATTTCTTCTCTAATTAAAATTCATGGCATACAGTGGAAAAGGATGTTCAGAGACAAACAACAGTGCACTTGTTCATGTGATTGTTTTTTTCAGGGTGAGTCCGGTTCTGCTTGAGCTCTGATGGCACTGCCAGTAAAAGCTTAGTTCCCTTTGGGTCTTCTCGTGTGGAAGACAGTTATTTCTAGTGACTAGACGCACAGAAAGAGATAGCTTCCTTCAGAGAGGCAATAAAATAAGGCAGGAGGATGAGGTAGAGAAGTGCACTCGCTCTGGGGCCCAAGTCCTTCCTCCCCTGTCACATGGTAGATGCTCATTGGTTTATGAATGTTCACCCGTTCATCCAGTAAAGAATGGTGGCCATGCTGTGTGCTGAGGCTACAAGACCCTTCCTCTTCTCATTTATTCTTCATCATCCCTCCCCCTGGCGTCAGGAGGCCATAGTAGTGAGGAGGTGCAAAGTGTACAAAGTGAAATCAAGCCAGTGTTGGCTTCCTAACTTTACTTTTAGAAGCTATATATGTGTGTGTGTGTGTGTGTGTGTGTGTGTGTATGTATATATGTGTGTGTATATATATATGCATATATATGTATATCACAACAAAAGAAAAAAAACAAAATTTAAAATAGCAACCATTCAAAAGATGGTGGTTGAATTTGATTTTAGTCTTTAAAATTCAGAGTCGAAAATAGAGTTTGTCCTTTTAGTGATGCTTATTGTAAGAAATAGAAAATTAAGGTGAAGGAAAATATGTCTATTCCCTTTGAGTAATACTTTTGGATCTTTGGAATATTTTCTTGGTGTTAGGTATTTTGTTGATCACACATTTCTCAAGAAATTGTAGAATTACTTTGCATGTGATTTTTCATGATTGAAGCATGTTCTACTTAAGTTTCCCCAGTTATCTTCTTAGTTGATCTACTTTAAGTGCTCATATTCTTGATGTTGGATTTTTGTATTTCCCGGTTTTTGCTTGGTGTGATCCTGAGAGCTTTGTTTCAGTTCAAAGTTTGTTGTTTAGGAACTGTCTGAGGTCGGACGCGTTCATGGAGTTAGAGGCAGGAAAAAAAGTTGTCCTGGATTCATAAAGAGCTCTGTTTTAAAATCTTATTTTCATGTTGTATCATGGAGGCATTAAATATTGTCTTCGTCAGAGTAGCTGTTGCTGTAATGAAACAATATAACCCAAAGCAACTTTGGGGTCGGGAAGGTATATCCCACTTATGCTTTCAGGTAGCAGTTCATCAGTGAGGGAAGTCAGGGCAGGACTTCAAGTAGAACAGGAAACTGAAGGCGGAAGCTGATTTCGAAGCCATGGAAGAGTGCTGCTTCCAGGCTTGTTCCTTGTGGCTTCTTCAGCTTTTTTTGGTTATAGTTCCCAGGGCCACCAGCGCAGGGATGGCACCACCCACATTGGACTGGACCCTCCCCTATAATCAGTAATTAAGAAAATGCCTTACAGCCTGATTTTATGAAAGCACTTTCTCAGTTGAACTTCCCTCCTTTCAGATGACTCTAGCTTCTGTAGGTTGACAGAAGATTATCCAGCATGGACATAAAAGGCCAGGATTCTAGACTTGGTTCTTTACTTCGCTGCCACGTGACTGTGAGAGGCACTGCAACTCTCCAGGCCTCAGGACTTTCCTTTAGAAAATGCATGCACCTTCAGGGAATTGGCAGTTGGAAGAAGGATAAATATTTTATAAATTGTAAAGCACTGTATGTGTGAAGGTGGCAGTGATGTTCTGCTTTTGTTTCTGAAGCACTATAACTATGACAGGCATCTTGCTAGGCACCATGTACCATGTTTATTTTTATTCTTTTTTTACCAAGCCTGTTACTCTGTGAAATAGAAGGCTATGAGACTGGTAGAGGTAAAAGCAGGACTTAGAATGGACTGCAGGGGCATGTCTGTTGTAAGTTACATTTCTGTCTCTGTCCCCAAATCCTCAAAGGGCTGCCTTAGACAGTTTCACAATGAGAGTGTCTCAGATCAGTGACATTTGCATGTTTGTTAGATATTCCTCAAAGTCTGAATTTGTGCCTGTATTAATTACTTTTCTATTGCTGTGATAAGACACCATGACCAAGGCAACTTATGGAGAAAAGAAGTGTATGACTTACAGTTTTAGAAGGTTAGAGTCTGTGACCATCATGGTGGGGAGCTTGGCAGCAGGCAGACAGGATACAGGAGCAGTATTTGAGAGCTTATGTCTTGAGATTGGAGTCACTGGACTGAGAGAGGGAGATGAGGAATGGCATGGGCTTTTGAAGCCCCAAAGCCTTTCCCAAGTGACATACGTCTATTAAAGCCATACCTCCTAATCCTTCCCAAGCAGTTCCACTGATTGGGGACCAAGCATATAAATATATGGGCTTACTGGTGTCATTCTTGTTCAGACCACCATAATTCCTGATTTCTAGAGGTTTAACTTTTGCTTGTGATGACCAGTTGATGATGTCTAACAGATAAAGTCAGACTCAAAAAACCCAAATGGCTTATAGCTGGCCCTGCCTTCCTTTTCTTAGTCCATACTTATAGGTTCAATAGGTAAGTGACCATGAATATCACTCAGGTATGTAAACTGTAACTCAGCGGAGCTCTCAGCTCCAAAGCCTGAATTCTTAAAGTTCAATGCTTCCTGCCTCCCGGGAGCTTAACACCGTGTCCTTCTTGGCCGTGGCCCAATGACTGTTGCATGAGGTCTCTGCTCTCTTACAGGTGTCTTTTGATCAAGTGCTAGATCATCTCTCATCCCACTGTGCTCTCTCCTAGTGACCTTCACCCTATTCTACCAAGTGAGCTGGATGGCATCAATGGCATTGCTGGCTTGGGAAACGGAGGTAAGTGTGCAAACCAAGAAAAAATGGGGAGTAGGCTAAGACCATGAGCATCCGAGGCCCAGAACCAAGCTGAGTGTCCGCAGTGCGCATTTAGCATTTTGTATATGTGTACTGATTTGCCCTTAATCTTCTTCATAAACATGGACCAGAATAGTTCATGTGTGTGCCTTCCCAAGTGTCTGTGTAGGTAGTGCTAATTATTTTCCTTGCTCAATTTTTTTAGAGATATTTTGTCTCATGTTTTTTTTTTTTTTCTCTTCTCATTTTCTCTTTTATTCAGTAGATATACACAAAAAGAAGCTTTTGGAGCAGACAGAATAAGAATAAGAAGATTTATTTCTAGGGAATATAGCTTAATACCCTGTCCCTAGGTTTTCTTTTGTTTTACTTGAAACAAAACATTTGATAAGCAGAAAGTTGTGAAGTTTGCCCTTTATTTAGCCCAGGATGTACTTGTCTTTTTGCCAGAGTCTGGCCAAACATTGAGATTCAGCTTGGAATGTCATTGCCTTTAGACTGAGAACAGATAGATAAGAAGTTCCTCTGATAAATCATTTGATCCAGGTTATCAACAGGACATGTTAGGTGCTGTGAGAAAAGAAAGCTGGGAGAGGAAGGGATTAGATGAGCATTGGCTGAGAGACTGGACAGTGGATCTGAGAGTTGGCATCGGCCTGAGGTAGCAGAAGGATGGCATGAGCTTCTCCAACAGGCATAGCTGAGCACCAACTGAGGACAGAAGAGAAACCCCTGTGCTCCTATTAGGGACACAGGAGTCTGCACTTTCTCTGCCCACAGTTGTCTGTGCCTAGGGTCCTCTGTTCTCTCCTCTGCCTACTCCTGCCTACTGGCAGGTTAAAACTCAGCTTCAAACTCACTACCTTCTTTGGCTTTCCTTGGTTACTGAGCATCCTCCATCCTCTGAGCATTCTATATATTTGTTTTCATTATTTCATTTGGCCTCTTTCCTAGTATCCAAAAACAAATAGGTTCTCACCCATTTGCACTCATCCCATCCTGGCCAACACAAGGACTCTGGCCTGGATTATCCCCATTGTCCCCTAGCTGTTACCGTTGTTTCTCTCCTGGACCCGTTAGAGTCTGTTCTCAGAGAGACAGCTAGAGGGAGCCTGAATCTGTTCATGTTGCTCTGGCTCTGTTCTCTAATCAGCAGTGCAGTGATTAGCTGAGCCTGCAAGCGCAGCCTTCCCATTTAGATTTCTCTATCCTAAATCACCTTTTAGCATAGTATGTTGTCACCTAGTTTTGTCCCTTTTTCCTCTCTTTAGAAGGGCTCTATTTGATTCTTGTTATAGACAGACCCAGAAAGCACAGGCTGGAAGCCACCTTTCAGTGCAGCTTTGTCAGAGTGTGGGTTGTTCCGTCATTCTGACATACTAACCCGTGTCATGATAGTTTGTTTTTCTCTGTTTTGCCCACTTGCCGAGGAACCTCTTGTGTGTAGGATCACTGGCTCCTTCACTGTTCTCCAGATGTCAGGCTGGTGCTCGGTGCAGGGAAGGTGCATGATAAGTGTTTAATCAATGAAGGAAGCTCTGGAGAGCCTGGGCCTGTGCTGACTGCGCTACAGGGTTGGAGTTTCCTGCCATTGCCTGCTTTGGGAAGGACACTGCTTGGAATATAGGCTCTGTGTTTATGAATGCTTTGTGAGGCTGTTCTCCTGCAGCAGCAGAGGTTGAATAGCCATGACAAATTTTAGGTTTGTGTGGCCTACAAATTGCACTCTTCATTGGTGTTTTAAGAAAGCGTTTGCCAGCTGTGCTACCAAATCAGTTTGGTTCTGTCTCAGTTACTGACATGTGAAGAGGAGGAAACACATGTCAGGACTGTCTACTTTGTCACATGAACCATGTTTTTCTGGGGTTCATCCTCTTGGCATATATGGCTATATTGCAATCAATGTAGATATTTTGCCAACTGCTTCCTGCTGTGTTGAGAACTCAGCTCAAAACTCACTACCTTCTTTGGTTTTCCTGGGTTACTTAGCATCCTCCTTACTCTGAACATTATATATATATATATATATATATATATATATATATATATTTGTTTTCATTATTTTTGTTGGCCTCTTTCCTAGTATCCAAAAACAAATAGGTTCTCACCCATTTGCACTCATTTCAGAATCAGTAAATGCCAGCAAGCCAAAAGTGCCTGTGGGTACACTGAGTGCTATTCTGATTTTCTCTCCTGCTCTTGTCCCCTTTAGGGATGCTGGGCAGCCTGAATACACTAACAATTTTGTCTCTTTGCCTTTCAAAAGTGCTCCCAAACGTGTCACAAGAAAAGGTCTGGCCTACCAGAGCCTGGAACATGAAGGACTTTGAAAAATGTAAGTGAAGAGTTCAAATCATCCTCCTCTAAGAAGTCATGTCTGCTGTTACCATGTACCCAGACCAGGAGAGAACTGTTTCTTGAGAACTGTTTGAGTTATGCCAGAGGTGGGGGAGGGGGTGATACACGCCATGTATTGGGGCTTTCATGGCCTGGGCCTTATATGGCGGGGGGGCATTTACGTGTACACACAACCAGTCTTTCATAACGGTTCTGCTAGGTTCTGACAGGTAATTGGTTTGTTTCTGGTGTCTTAAAGATAAGAGTGTTGCCGTATTATTCAGTGAAGTGTAGCTGACAATATCATAGGTACTGATTTATAAGTCCGCCTTGGTTCTTGCTGCAACTCATGAGGTATTTTCTATTAGCAATTTTACGAAGGAGTTCTCAAAATAGGAGAGACTGATTTATGGTCATATAATAAATCTGTTAGAGGCAGAACTGGGATTAAATTCATATTCCTTTAAGGTTTATTTTAATCTACTTTAGTGTGTGGTATGTGTATGCTGTGTGTGTGTGGTGCATGCATGTTGAGTATGCTAAATGTGTAGGTCTGTGTGGTTGTATGTCAAGGCCAGAGCAAGATGGCAGTTATTTTCCTCTGTCACTGTCTGCCTTATTCCCTTGCGACTGAACTTTTGCAGCTGGTCTGGCAGGTTGACTGGCTGGCCAGTAAATTCCGAGGATTTTCAATGTCTGTAATGCAATAATTTAGGTTATCTCTGCTCCTCCCACTGCTGGGCTCATATGCATGCCTGACCCTGCCCAGGTTTGTTTGTTTGCTTGTTTTTCTTTCTTTTTAAGTGAGTGCTGGGGATTTGGATTCAGGTCTTGATGCCTGCATAATAGGAGCTCCACTGCCTGAGTTCACTTAAGCATTGTTGTTCTGCTGCATTGCCCCGCCCCTTTCATGTTTTAGACTTTGTGGCTGGTGAATGAAGCATGGGTATTCTGTACCCAGTGCTGTGTTTTATTTGCCAGAGAACGGATTACTGGTGACAAGTTTGGTTTGATGCTCAGTGACTTCCAACATTGTTACCTTTCATTAGTTAGCAGAGGGGGTTGTTGCCAAGTAACAGGAAACTCAGGTTATTTTCCAAATTCCAATTCTCTTTAACAAGTTACCTGCTCAACACTCTCATTCATCATGGGAAGAATTAGACTCTTCTTCATTTCTAACCAAATGAAATCCATACTATGCAAGACACAGGAAATATTTGTCAGAGAGAAGATGGAGGACGCAGAGGGAAGGACACCTACAATATTGTCTTTCTCTCCCCAGTTGTCTTTGCAGAACAGAGTGGTGCTGTCTCTGGATTTAATTTAGCATACTCATTACTGCTAATAGTTATCTGCAAACCACCAGTGACCAATTGAAGAAATGGCTTGTCAGATCTCTAATGGAAACAAGTCATTTTTGAGCTTAGAGTTGTTATAATTTCAGCTGTACATGCGCTGTTACGCTGTTGGATCTGGGGCCTGAACTGAATGGGTTCTGATTGTTTCACATCGTGTATAATTAAAATATGCTCTCCTGTTAAAGGCTTATTCCTATTTGATCATAAGAGCAATAATAACTGCTGTTTATTAGGCTCTGGCTCTGAGCTTGGCACTTTAAATATGAAGTTCCTTATAATATTAGAGCAACTTTGTGAGATCAGTAGTCATTATTCATTGTTGAAGAACGTGGTTTTAAATTTCATTATCAGATGAGGAAATTTAGCAGCATTGTATAATTTTGGCTTCACATCTGTCTTTTGAACTCTAAAGAATCCTGCCTGCCCTATTTAAGATACTTAGGAGATACCGAGGCTTGGGGATGTGGTGTGGCAAAGGTGTTCTCAAAGGACATTACTAAGGACCACAGCTTCTCCACATAGGCTGTCTCTTGGTCTCTTTTTGCTGGTAACTTTCGGCCAGCGGCTTAGCCTCCCTCTACTTCTTCTCCTTTCAGATGGGCTGTTAGGAGGATGATGCCTCTGTCATTGAGTCCATCCATGTGTCAGGTGGCCCTCCTTCTCCTTACTGTCTTATTGCTGTCATTTTTCTCACTCTGCCTTGTGATTGAAGTTTCTCTTGCTCAGATTGTTCTTGATGGCCAAAATCTCATTTTTCTGGAAGGTGAGGGAGAGCTTTCTATGCCAATATGTTTTAGAATTTATGTTTTTTCTTTATGACTGTGGTCCTTTGGCTGCTGTTAGGTTTTTATGGCATTAATATTTTTTATTGTAGCATTTTCGAGAGCAAATTTTGCAGCTCAAGTTGAAATGACCACCCTGTTCTCACTGTCTCCCTTGCAGGTCTTTATAAGTCACTGAAATTTTTCATTTGGCCTGAGCTACATTTTGTGGTGGCATTCTGGGCTTTCTGGGAGATGCCTCTAAGAAAAGAACTTGGCATCTAAGTGAGATTTAAAGGGACATGCATATGAAAGAGGCAGAATCATTTTGAATTAGAAGGGAGACTCCTGCTTTTCTTGTTCTAGTCTTGGGTGACAACTGCATGAGCATCAGCAGGTGCATTTATCTAGGGTTTAGTGAGACTGATCTGCTTGTGCTTCTCTCAGAGTTTCTGTTCAGTAAACAGTTTCACTTGGGCAAACCAGGTTGTCTGTCAGGTTGGGAATTTGCAGTGGGTTCTGCCCT